TGTAATGTGTTGATAAAAATATTGTATATAAAAATGTAAAGAATTAAAGAATTTAATATATATTAGGAAAAATTTCAATATATGTTATATAAAATATAACCATCATATAAAATTTAAAAATGCAGATATTTTAAATTATGATGTTATTGCAAAATCTCATAATATATAATTTACACAGTCTTATATGTTTACTTAAATATGAAATATATGAATTTGGATTGTTATGTGCAAACTTTAGAAAAATGACAAAATCTGTTTGGAAGATAAATGCACGTCATCGACAGATGTTGTTCCTAAGGTAGATCGCGAGTTTCAAATTTGGGAAACTTGCAAAGACTGCCACGGGAAATTGGAGAGATGCCAAAGGAAACCTTCGGTCACTATCACGAAGTAAGTTCTCAGGTTCAAGCTAGTTCAGTTACACGCTTCACTTACACAAGAGATTAAGCAAGTATACATACAAATACAAGCCTTCCTAGTTCAAACTTCTATCTAAACATTCTATCAAATCAAAGCATGTATTAATTAAGAATTTTAATAATTAAATTCGCAAATTGAATTTTTATCTGCGAGACATGTGAATACCTGATATTTTCGCTAGTTTAGATTTGAATGACAGTATACGCGATTAATATCTTTAAAAATTACTGATATTGCAAATAGAGTGATATCTAGAATTATAAGTTTCTCTTGCAGTATATTTCTATCTAAAAAACTTCTATCTAAACATTCTATCAAATCAAAGCATGTATTAATTAAGAATTTTAATAATTAAATTCGCAAATTGAGTTTTTATCTGCGAGACATGTGAATATCCGATATTTTCACTATTTTAGATTTGAATGATAGAATACGTGATTAATATCTTTAAAAATTACTGATATTAAAAATAGAGTGATATTTAGAATTATATGTTCCTTTTGCGGTATATTTCTATAAACCTCGATCAAAGCAACTTAATTAAGAATATCTATAGATTCTACAAACTTATTGGATATTAATGAAAACGAGAAAAGTAAAAATTTCTAATTATAAATTCTCTCTTATTATTTTTTCTTTCTCTCTCTCTTTCTCTCTCTCAAATATTATATATAATCACACATTAAAAGAAATTATATAATAATTATATAATAATAAAATAATAATTAAATAATTATAATTTAATTTTAATTTATAAATAAATATTAATCTAATCTCATTTTATTATATATTACAATTTTTCTTTTGATGTATCTGTTAATTATGTTCTCTAATTGCGCGAGTAGATCAGAATTTGAGTTACTGGAGAGGGATATGCAAACTTTAAGAGACGCTGTAATTGTTCGAGAAAAAGCATGGGATAAAGCGATGGAATGCGAGCAGAATTTTCGGCAGCAATTAGCACGGCTAACCGCGGAGATGATCACCACACGTCATCTTTGCGAAACTCGCCAAGATGAACTTCGCGAGATTACAAAGGTTTTGATGGTAATAACAGAAACCAAGCTTGGTATACAATCAAAATTAAAATTAAAATTCCAATATGTTAAATCAATGTATCGAATGTTAGCGTAATAAAACGACTCAACTTGAAAGAGCATACTTTTATACCGAAATATTAAATTAAAAACTTTTAGCGTTGATACATTTTCACCTAATATCTATATATTACATATGCATAGATATCTGCATATTGAGATATTTTTATTTTACATTTCAATAATATTATTATTTTATTTTAATTGTTAAAAGATGCTTTTGCATGTATATAATAAAGTATCCGTATCGTTTCATACGCTAACAGCTGTATATACCATATTTGAAAATGTTATATATGATATTTTTTATTGTAATCATTATATTTATTATTATATATATAATAAATAATACACCGATTACAATATTAATTGCGATATGCATATAGAACAAATTATTTGAAAATATTAAATATAATTTAAAAAATGTTTGTTAATAATTAATTATTATTAAAATTATTTTAATTAAGACAAGAAATAATATTTATTTTATTTTAGCAAGTTTTTATTTTCAGGAAAAAGAATCGGAGCTAAAAGTGATGCAGAAAGAAATGCTGCATCTGAATAAATTAATTGCAAAGTTGCATCGACATCAAAAGTAAGCTGTGCTTAATTATGTTTATTTCATTAATAATAACTGAGTTTGCATCTCATTTGAAGTTGTTTATTAATTGTCAAGAAACATATATAGCATTGATGTTCATTATGCGCGTAATAATAATCATATGTTTGCAGCAAAAACTATAACGTCTAATTTTTTACAGAATCAATTATGTAATCTGTAATCGATCAAAAATACGAAAATATCAATTATGTTTGCGTTTTTCATTGCAAAAGACTTGAAATGCGATGCAAACATAGTAATAATTGTGGTTATACCAAAAGCATAAATTACTTGCCTTGTCATTAATTCGTTGCAATCATCTGCTCTTTGTTTTCTCTATGTTCCCTATATATTCTTGATAGCTAAACTAACTCGCGATACTGGTCACAAACGCAACGTAAATAATGCCAAATATACGTATATTAATAGATTATTTAGGAGAAAACGATCGCGCGAAACTAAGTGCGGTTATAGTACTCCGAAACTCTGAAGCGCCACGAGATTGAGCGGGAAATTGTCGTTGTACATCGCGTGACGTATGTCATACGTCATGATGACGTATGTGCTGCTTCCCGCGCTTTATACACATATATATATATATATATATATATATATATATATTAATAATAAGGGCGCAAAATCATTCTCTCCATGCGAGAAATGATAGTCAAATCGACGTCGATTCGACCGAGATTTCATTTCTCGCTGAGACAGTTTAGAAATAATAACACAGTAAATGTAATTTTGCAGACAAAAGAGCAAATACCTGTGGATATATTTGTTACTCGAAATTGCAAAATTTGATTTCCACATCAAAAATCTTATAAATTGATATATCTCAATTAAAGAATTAGTTCAAAGTTTTTGACGATTTCGAAGAATATGGGATGATTTTTCTGCTATTTATTACTTTGCTACAGATACTACACACACGCATGCACGAACACACATACATACATCTGCATAGTACGACAATATCGGAGATGACTTGCCTCAATTAATTCGTTGCGATGATCAGCCGTTTGTTCTCTTCATTCTCCCCACACTCTCGATAGCTGAACTCACTCGTGATGCTGGTCAACGACTCAAATAATGCCAAATACGTATATTATTGATAGATTATTAGTGCAACGAAACGATCACAGTTCCACTCCGACGCGGCGCGAGATGCCTCTGAAATTGCCGCGAATGCCGCGATATATCGCGTGACGTATGTCATACGTAGCGATATGTTTCTTCCCGCGCTTTAGGCTAAAAAGCGCGAAGCTTGAAAATAATGACACAATAAAATGTATTAATTTTTTAAATAATAATACATTTTAATTAAGATTTTGCTTGCGAATTATCTTCAATGTCTATATTATCAAAATAATTGTTTAATTTATATAATCTACAAATGATAAAAGAAACAAATAATACACATGCGTATATTTAATACAAGATTACACACAGCAATCTTTTGCCTGATTTTTGTGTCAAATATTTTATTAATTAATTATCTCGAATAAATGATTAATTAAAAGTTTTCTATACGATTTCTAGAAAATCGGTTTTCTTGCTTCTGTGTTATTCCTATTTAATTCTGCATAATGCAGCAAAATACGCAGCTTTAAGAAGCTTCTTACAATTTCAGAGAACTCGAAGAACACACAGGCGGCGATGTAAGTTCTAACATTAGCGAAAAGGATCAAAAATGCATCGAGGAGATTGTACAACGTGTACGAAGCTTTAAGGGTAAATCGAAGACGAAGTTCAAGTATACTTCAGATAAATATTCGCATTCAAATTCAAGCAGCTCTCGTGAACATAAAAATAGAACGGATTAAGCAGGTTCCTCGAAAGACCAACAAAATTAAACTTGTAATCATAATTTATTCGATGTTATAAAAAAACGCATTATCGCGTTTACATATATTAGATTTTCACAATTTTTCATCATTATTAATGATTTAATAGCACCATAGATGTGTATTTTTCGTACTTATATATATTCAGAGAATTAACAAATTAAATTATAATATATTGTTTAATATTTTTATATTACATGTTTAAGCGAAAGACAAAAATATTAAAATATTAAAAAATATCTTTGTATGTCTATGATTGTTTCTTAGATATTTAAAACTTCATTTTTATATAATAATTATACATGTATAATGTATAATAATTACATATATATTAATAATTTCATCTTTAGTATCATTATTGTGAATTGTGGTGCCATCTGTGGTGCAAAAAATAAACGAAGTACAAATGTCGATCGCGCGATAAAGAAATTTAAACAAAATAACTCTAAGGAAAGAGTCAAATTTTGACGTTTCCGTTAACAGATCCAAAGCATTTTTTAAATTTAATATTGTATGAAAAGGCGAAAATATTTTTTTATTGGTAACATTTTAACATTCTTTTTCTGTCTTATAATTTTTCTGTCTTTCTATCTTTATCTCTATATACCTTATTTGTATATGACTATTTGCTTTTATTTTCTTTATTGAGGTTATAGAGGTTATAGATTAATTATATTTACAAAATTGTTACAAAGTTTTGTCAATATATTGATATCCCTATTTAGCACACGTTATTTGTTAACTTCTATAAATGACAAAATAATAAAAAAATGTTCTCATTATTTTTATTATTATATATATATCTTGTCGAGATGTTAATCAAAACGATTTACGGCATTATTCATATATAATATAATTAATATAAAGATCTTTTTTTAATTTTTGTTTTTATATTTTATGTATTATATAAATAATTTATAAATTTAATTCAATACACATATGTTTTTATTTTAGTGTATCTAGGATGGATTTTGCAAAACAATCTGTTATGTAACAAGTTTGATATAAAGAGGATTTATCGTCAATTTGATGATAGTAAAATAAATTCTATAATATAAAAATCTCATAAGATATCTCACCAACAGAGTATAATTGCCTAAGTCAGCACATCTGAGTAAAAAGGTAATGATATGTATATCTCATCAATAGCTTTAATAAAAAGTAAACACAAGAAAAACAAAATGTAAGTGTGATTACAAATTAGAATAATAATAATAAACCTATATATATATAAGGATCTCTATACTAATCTTCACATTTTACGTTTATAATATCTGACAGATTCATCATTTAAACAAATAAGCAATGTGTAAAAAGCACAATGGATCGGAAATGAGAAAAACAGGAAAGTAGAAAAGAAAGAAAGGAAGAGGAAAGGAAGGAAGGAAGAAAGAAAGAGAAGAGTTCTATTTCATATCTCCTGAAAAATTCATTATTTAAACAAAATAATGTGTAAAAAGTTCTACGCATAATGGATAGGAAATGAGAAAAAGGAAGAAGAAAAGAAGAAAGAGAATTCTACTTCATCTCCCGAAAAATGTCCGAATAGAAGAAGATAAACACCGACATAAAGGCGTAGAAAGTGTTGCATTGTACGACTTGAAAATCGCGGGTGACCTGCGCGCTGTTAAAATCAATCAATGAACGTCGACAGCGCGACTACGTCGTGCAGAGATCGCGTTGTCGTCGTCGGTATCGCCGTGTCCGCATTCGGTCCGGTTTACTTTGTAGGGTAGAATTTTAGATACGATTTTCCGTGGCGCCGAGCCGCTTACATTGTTGCGAACTGAGTCATGTAATTGTGCGTGGTGACAAAATGCCGCCAGGTCGCGAGGATATGGAACTCTGTACCGACAAGGTCCTCTCCAAGGGTAGAATCTTACAGGAGCTCACAAAAGCTGTCAAATTGGTAAGCGAGCGGAACATTGTTAGAAAGGCCGTCTCTATCTCCGTATAAATGCATGTACAGCTGTCAATGCAGCTGCGACTGCACATGCTTTCATATATGCTCCAAATAGTATACGCGTGAAAGATGACAGTTCGGCGACAACTCCCCTACAACGCCTTTCTTCCTCCCTTTCTTGTAGGCACGTATTTCGCATTTAGAAACAGTGCTCGAAATTCCGAGATATGGTTCTGACAAATTATATTTCAAATGACAAAGATATGAAGAAGTATGCCCTCTGCAGAGGATTGAAAATGTTACAATCCAGATGAGTTTGATCTCGGATGCTGTAAAAATACGAGAGACGTGTCTTACGTCAATCGTCAATCGTAGTTTCATTAGTGACTTTTACGTGACTATGACATCGAAGTCCGAGCTAATGTTACACTGGTTCTTATTTCTGATATTTTGCCATTGTCAGGAATAAGCATACAGATAATTTTTGCACACCTTTAAAATTAAAATTTTGTCGACAATTACATTGATTATACCTACTTTTTAATCTCGGAATTTCTAAACTTATTGTTAGCAGTAATTAGTAATCAGGATTTTGGTATCACATACACACACACACGACTGATATAGGAGCAATTTCTAAGGCGCGCCCGTTATTTATATTAATTGCTATATTTTCTTGTTGCACATTCATGAACGAAAACGGTGTTAATTTTTAGAATTGAGTGATGTAGATTGTCTTACGAATCGTTTAATCAAAAACTTGAAATAGGTCGCTGAGACCGTCACGATTACACACGCATTTCTTTTGTGCTAAATTTAATTCTTTGATTGTGGAGATGGTTTCAGGATCCAATCCCATTAAATAAATTGTTGAAAAATTAATTAGAAATTCGTATAAATTTATATTAATATATGATATATCATATAATATATATTATTATAATATGCACATGTACATTTTTAATAAGGATTTTCGGAGCTTTCACTTTAGAAAAATATTACAAAAACAAAAAATTAGTTATAGAATATATATAAATACACGTATATATAAAACACATATATATAAATACACGTATACATGTATATATCTGGGATGGTGGAAACTTCTGGTCGCGAATTAATCACGACGTAACGCGACTCGAAATCGAACGTGCGCATACAAAGGCGTCCAATCTTTGCGTGGATTTTTGCTCGTGTATGTATACATCTTCAAATTTCTTGCTAAAAATGAATTTTATTTGTCTAGCTTTTTCGTAGTATTGCGGAGAAATGTGTCGCTTTCGTCAAAATTACTTAATTACGTTGACATTCCAATGACAGTCACGCAGATGCGCGCTACATGGAACAGCTGATATCTGTCTTTTTTTATACTTTCTTTTATCTTTCTTCTTTTTTTTACTTTGATTATTGATTTATATATTTATTTCGCACATACATTTCAATGTAAAAAATAAAAATAATATATAAGACATTATTGTTCTATGTTAGATCAGTGAAAGTAAAAAACAAATGTGCTCTTAATTAATGGTGCAAGCCGAAGTATTTGTTTAAAAATAAAATCATAAGTATATGTGTTATATAACATATTTTATATAAATATTTCTTTGCTCTTGCTATAAAAAATTTTATGTCTGCAAAGTTTGCTTGCGAATACAATTGCTGTCAGAACAGATATCAGTACCAATAATCTAGTCATGTATTCAGTTCACATTCTTTTGTTGTTAGATGCTTTTTATATTTTCTATAATTTTTTATTTATGGAATAATAAGCTTTAGTCGAAGCATGAACAAGTGTTCTAATTTTATTGATATTCACTGAAACATTTATTTTATTCAGATGATTAATTAATACTGCTGTTTTAAATAAAGTATAATTTTCCAGCATTATTAATTTGGAATTTTTTTACATATTTTTTTATTTTGTATATATTAAATATATAGTATATTATATAATATATATAAATTATTATATATATATTTTTTATAGTAATATGAAAAGACTTTACTATTATGTACTTTTGATATGAATGCGAACAAAATAAAATAATCAACTTTATAGAATGAAATGTTTTGCTTCGCATCTTATATACATATATATTTTAATCCTATTTTTTAAATTTATATTTATAATGTACTTCTATTTTGTTACATTTTTTTCCAATAAAAATAATACATGTGTTGAACAGGTCTACGCCCAAAGTCTTTATGGTACTGTGGTCTTGGATGGTGATTCCTGGTTGGTTTATTGGTTGGACCGGGCATTACGTCATGGACTGCGTGTAGAGAGACATGGATATTGGGGTACTGCTAGAGAACTTAGTCATCAGGACACTGTTGTAGTCATTCACGCATTACAGAGTGTATTAACTTCTATTGGAAAAGGTATGCTTTGATGTCACGTTCAAAAGTAACTGCTATTTGATTTGACATATGTGCTACTCTCTCAATTCTCATTTAATGATCAATATGTATTTAACAGCAATTATAACTTTATCTTATCATAAAATATTGAAATATATTGAACCGATATAAAATAATAATTTATGGTTGACAATTACATCACATGTTTTCATAACAATTATATCTGTGATATACAATAAGAAATAATTATATTTATGCAATGGTAAAGTTTAATTGTATCTAAGACTGAATATGTTTCAACATTTCTTCTTATTTGTATTAAATTATTATTAATATCGTGTAGGTCGAGCATGGCTTTATCACACTCTGAGTGAGGGCAGTTTTGAGAGCTATCTGGCCTGTTTACTGCGAGACACCAAGACGTTAAAAAAGCAGTATTTTTCACACGCACTTGTAAGAGATGCTGATAAAACCAATCAATTGGTAAATCTTCTCGCCGGTTTGGAAAATGTATCCTTCACGTTGCAATTGGTACGTCAAACTGATGTGATAAATAATTTATAAATAGTATAAAGCGTTTAAGAAATATTGATATTTTTACGAAAAATATAGAATCAACTTTTTATCTTTTTTTTTTGTTGAATGTTTGGCACATCATGTAATTTTTATTTTTGTTTCTCTCTATGCAGAGATACTAATATCACCCCCTGGTTACACTTATCGCGTTAATGAATAACACCAATCACATATATAGATAGATCTTTTTATATAAGGTCGCGAAGGGTTATCATTATATTTACGAGTACTTACTTTATTTGGTACGAATTATATATCAATCTGTTTATTCATGGAAAATTTCTGTGAACATGTTGTTAGAAAGAAAAGATATTTGTACAGAGTTATCTAAAGTTGTTAAATACTTTAATATCTAATTGATATTATATGATTGTATTGATTAATGAAACTAATATTGTATACAGGATGTGACGTATTTAGACACATGCAACTATATGCCACAGAGGCCTATGAGCATAAATCCATCAGGAACGGTCTTATCGTTGCATCTTAGGTCTTCTAGTGTTTCATCGAGCCTAGCTTCTCCAGGTGATAGTGGTGTTGCATTTGACAGTGATATGGATCTTGCAAACGAAACTGATGGCAGCAGTTATAAAGAGGTAAGATAAAAAAATTATGCAAAATAATCTTAATATTTATTGAAAATTAATATACATATACATATATGTATAAATCTTTTTTACAGGAGGATTTTTCGATGGATGATATTCTTAAATGTCGAAATAATAGGTATAAGACAATTATTAACAATCGCATGGAAGACAATAAGAATTTTGGATCTAGCGATTCCAGCGAAGATGGTAAAACGCCAATGCAATCACCGGCAATTACTAAATTTCAAACTGTCATGATGACAAAAAATGATATAGTTAACCAGAATATAACGCGAAAACTGGACGACAATGAAATGGATTGCTCTAGTTTGGAAACTCTCAAAGATTATGATTTTTATAGTAGGAGTCTTGACGATGCAAAATTGGAGAAAACGAACAAAATCGATAATGGTATAAAGGACTTTGGCAAGAGGAGCACTTATTACAGCGATACTCCTGCTTACAGTTTTAAGAAGAATATAGATCCTCGTAATTCCTATCTAATCAACAATGATACAAATCTGTTGGAGTTAAGCATGACAATCTCCGACTGTGATAACATGGATGCTCCTTACAGTATTCTGAACACAATCAATATGACGGACACTAGCATTCTATCTTCCTCCAGTTCAGAGGCTATAGTACAACGTAGGCAACGTAAAAAAAAGCGTGGTGAAAGTAAGAAGCGAGTCAGCTTTCATGAAGACATACTGAAAACGATGAAGCTGGAGGACGACGAAAACTATGCTGATTTCTCCATGAGTTTTTTGTTGCCCAGTTCCGTTCTAAAAAGAGACGCTCAGAAAGGTAGATACAGTTGGTGCGCGCACGGAGATTCGCCGTACGTGCAGAAGAATACCAATGACGGTAGGAACGTGTACTCGGATTGTTATTCATTTTCGTCATCCTCGTCGAGTGTATTTGACAGCGATGGAGACAAACAGACATCATCGAAGATGTGTATTGACATGCCGTGTCAGCGTAATTGCAGGTGTAATTGCGGCTTATCCTTGTTGGAACGTGGAGCACCAGAAGGTCAGGAAGACCCGGCTAAAAGCCTAAGGCCTAAAATGGAAATAGAATTGGAGGAGAACGAGGCTCAGGAAGCCTATATCGTCGAAAAAGCCTGTGGTAATATTGTCGAGGATCCACCATCCAAAGTAGAGATGCCACAGATGGTAAATCCGAAGAAATGCGCCAATTTGAATGATTGGTCGGACGTGGAAAGTGTGACATCTGAGTTAGAAGATCGTAAAAGTAGCAGACACTTAGCTTCACCGTCGAAGAAGCGCAATATGACGGCGATATTAACGGGCGAGAGCAGCAGCAAGCTCTTGACACCACCTCTGCGTCAGGCTCCATCGAAAACATCATTGTTGAGTAGATTTTTAAAATCTATCACTGAGAGGAAGTTTGAGATTAAGAAGAACAAGAAACCGCCGAAGGTAAATACCTTATACATCAAAGGAATTAAGACCAACTACGATTCTTTCAAAGATTTTAATGACAATCTTGACAAAGAGATTCAAGAGAACGTGGCCGCTGAAAAACAGGAATTTAGCGGCGAAAAAGTAAGCCTAAAACTACGTGAACTTTTCAAGAGACATATCTATCGCGACAAAACGGAAGAATTATATAAAGTCTACAAAGTGCAAAGTTCGTACATGACGAACGGCGAAAGTAAGCCAATGATCGCGTTATTGACGGACAAAACATTATATTTAACTGGTTCAAAACTGGATCACTCTTATAGCAATCAGTTCGTTATTCCTTATAATGAATTGGATGTTATTATGGTAAGAAAATTTTAAATAATATATATATTTTTTTTCTGAAAATATACATTTTGCTAACGAAAATATATGTTTATCTATTTCTAGATTGGACCGAACGCACAAAGTATTTTGATTTCAAACGCCGATTGTGAAATGCAGTATCTATTCTCCACTGGCAGCTCGCAAACTACCTCAGAATTAATCGGTCATTTAGAGATGGCTATGAGACGATCACCATCAAAACCGAGACTTCCTGCTGTCAAAGAATTGAATTATGAAGATATGCACATTTTGAGAAATTCAATTCTTAATGACACAGCTGTACATCCTGTACGTAAATATTTTTCTCCAATTTATTGCTCCTATATTGTATAGGATGTCTATTGCATTTTTATTCAAAAATTGAATACATAATATGTGTCTTAACAATTAAGTTACACATTAATTATTAAAAAATAGAATTTATTTTAATATAGTATATAATTCGTATTATTAGTTTCAATAGTTCTTTATAAATTTTAGAATATTTTATATTTCATTGTTGACAATTTTCTAATTGCGAGGCTTTCTAATAATGCATGATTGTAAAAGATTATTTTTAATTTTATTTATTATCTTTACAGGATGAGAAAATCGAACATTATAGCCTTATTTATATGGAAGATGAACACATGTCGCCGCCTAGTACACCGTGTGGACCAACAAAAGAAGGCGATTTGATGTTTCGTCCACATACCTATCAACACTTGCATCCGAACGCTCCTACGAATCCCTGGGAGGCCGGTTATTTCGTATTAAAAGGCGGCGTCGTTTACATGTTCACGGATTCGAATCAGCGACTTCCCAAGCGTGCTATACCTTTAAAAGGAGGCTTATGCCAAGGATGTCGAAGGATTCCCAATTCTCACCGACCTCATACTTTCGAAATATTATTAAAACCCAACAAATCATATCAATTCGCCGCTCCGGATGAATATGTAGCTTCCGAATGGCTACAGAGTTTTGTTCAAAGCGCATCGGGTCTATTTGATTGTACAGAAAACAAAGAGCCAAAACCTTGCAGCCTCATCACGACTACGAAACATCTAGTGGCAATGAAGGAAATCCATCCTGGCACACAAAGAGGCCAAACGCTCTCGTGTGCTTCTATTAAGGATTTAGCAGCATTTAGAGTGCCATTAGTACAACAATCATGGTGCATATTGGTAAGTACATATCAATCTGAATGTATAATGCAGGGATTGTCAATTTCATATTTTATTGAATATACGTAGATTAAGAAAGATATACAATATTGTGCACATTGTAGGAATTCGCATGTCGAGAAGTACACGAAAGCAGTGGTGATTGGATCATATATTTCACGAATCACACCGAGCTCTGTGCGTTTAAAGAGATTTTGGAAATATTATGGGCTAATGCAAACTTGGTATGATATAATTATTCTGTATTAAATATTATATGTAAATTATATACTAACACATAGTTTCTTGATTACTTTTACAGGGTGAATTTCCTATGGCAACACTTCCACCAGAGGATAAATTACAGCGACGTTGTTCGGATGCTAGCAGAGATTTGGAACATGCGTGGCGATATCTGTTACCACCAGCTTTAGAATGAATGAAAAATATACCGACAATATACACCATCATTTAAAAAATTATTTTATCATATCGCTATAAAAGAAAGATGGAACTCTCGTGATAATGCACGTGAATATTCAGGTAATTACGTATATTTGAAAATTGAAATACTAATATGTCGTATATGGAAGATATATCGCTTGTGCAATATAATCCAAATTCCTTTTGTTGCAAATTAAATGCCATGTATCTGTCACGTCAAACTAGTTGATGTTATTTTATGGCTTATAGATAAAAAAAAAACAGATGTCCTTATTCGGACATGTGACACCTGATTAGTGGCATAATTTATGGTAATTTTTTAATTTTAAGATCAATATATTCTCACAATATTCCTATATTGAGAAAGATTGATCATTAGAGAAAAATCTTACATATAAGATATATAAGTCACCTCGAATATATAGACTATTTAGGGTAGATGCAAAACAGTGCATTATCTTTCTCCTGTAGCATAAGTCACCACATAATAAGCTATTATTAATTTATAATAATGCAGAGAATGTAATATAATAACTGTGAGACAACACTATTGGTTACTATAAATGTCTATATATTCACATATACTGAGAAGACAAAATCATATGCATTTGAATACGCACTATTGATATTAAAATAGTTATCTATTATCGAAGATAATACTATAAAATTCGAAAACACTTAAAAAGCAGCTTTGACAAAGAATAATACTTCAGAAATTGCTTCTGAAATTAATAAATAATTTAACATTCCTAATAAAGAATTAAAAGTTGATTTTACTTTTAGCATTATATCTTTTTATATATCTTGTAGTATATCTTAAAATTGTGAAATTTTAACTCCATATTTATTAATTTTTTTAATGTACAGGTATGAAATATGAAATATAGGGATAATAATTGCATTATATGCTATTACATGCTAATTTAATATATGTATTTTTATCAATTAAAATGTAAATTGAATCAATTTTTGTTGCATTATCCATTGCATTAAAATTCTTAAATATTTAACATGTTACGAATATGTGTGATAGCAACTTTGAGTTACCAAAATAACTTATGCTTAAAACTTTGAAAATAATTGAATTTTAATATGCTTATATTATATAAAGCTATAATATAAAGGAAACTGTGTGTACATGGGAATTAATTTTTATTTGTGATATAATATTAATATATGAATATATTTGTTATGAAATTTTTTAAGTTATAATCTTATGTTACCAAAGCTACATGAATAGATGCATTCTATATATTCTTGTGAATAAATATCTAATGTATGCATTATTTCATGTAGCACTGATTGTGATATGCCGTAAAGTAATAAACGACAATTGTTAAGTTCGTGAATTCTTATGTGAAATTTATGTAAATTAAAGCATTTACTGTGCAAAAATAAAATCGATTATGTATGTTAATTTTTATTGTGTGAAAAGTATATGGAATTAAATTTTTACAGATTACAGCCAGCATGTATTAAATGTTATATGTCCGTATACCTTTCATACACAAAAATTCTGTATCATTGTACACAATCTGCAAATTATGATGAATAGAAGATTAATTAAAATATATAAAAGAATTTGATGTGATATAATTTTGATTTTATTTTTTATTATCCACTTTTTCACTATTTAAATATGTAAATTATCTTTTAAAAAGAGAAAGAAGAAATAAAGCATATTTTATTCTCACATTGATAATTTTATAAATTTTAATAACAATAACGAATGTTTCTTTAATTATTTTCATACGAGATTTTAATTACTTAATACTTTATGTTATATATATAATTTAAAGAGCTGATAATATAATAATTTGATTCTATAATATTGTGCAATAATTGTATCAGATATTATTTTTTTAAAAATATCTCTTTTATGATGTAAACTACATCGAGTATAATTAAGTACAAAATATATATATATATATATTATATATATATATAATATATACTCGATGTATTTATAATAAAATATTATAAAAAATTATACTCTGATACATTTACATCATAAAAAATTATAAAATTAAATTATATATATATATATATATATTTCATTTTAGAATTATATGATTTGAAATATGAATTTTAATAAAAATATTTTTAAAAAATGTGAAATCTAAATTTATCTTCTATATTATATCTATGAATTTACATTCGTAAATATAACAATGTTCAATGATTTGTTATTCTATCAATTGCATTTATTCGGGTAGATGATGGCCTCTTGCTCTTTTCAGAGTTTTTACTGTTTCTATATCAACATTTGGATATTGTTCTTTCACAGCTTCGAGATCCAGATTTGGGAATCTCCTTATTAACATTGCAACGCGATTCTTGTCACGACTGAAACAATAAAACAAAGGTTTCCTTGTCTTTTAACAAGAATAAATAGATTGATTATGGCTTTAGTAAATGATAGAATTAATTGCTACAAACTTTCTTGCTTGGCGTTTTTCATTCCAAATTTTTTCTCTGTATAATCGTAGGAATTTCCGAGTTGCATAGCCAGTAAAACCAAACATGTGCCACTTGTGCCATTCTTTATTCATGTATTTTGGCTTGGTATATTGACGCATTCGATAATAAAATTTCAGACCTAGCAAAAAATAAAAAAGCTGTTATTACCTACTTCTTATTATCTTTCTAAAAACAAGTTTTTTTCTTATATAATGGAAGTTATATGAATTATATAAATTTTACCTAGGCGACTATAAACTAATTTTCCAGGACGCTCTCCTGTCTCGCCGGTTTCAAGCATGTGGTACGCTCTATTTCTTTCACGAACAACTGATTCCAAATTATCCATACTAGTTTTAACTTTGTCTATGCGTTCAGGGTTTGGAAAAATCTCATTCTCTTTTTCAGATGCCTCTTCCATAGTCATAAGCATGTTACGTTCCTTTAATAATACATACCTGTTTGTTTAAACATATGAATTTGAGGAATACTGAATAATGTTTACATATATGTAAATAATATCCAAAGGCAAATTTTACCATAGTTTATGAAGATCTGAATTACTCTTCAATCTCAATTCATCCTTTCTCCAGGATCGACCAACCCTCACCTCGTTTTGTCCCCAATTTTTGGTTCGTCGAAGAATTCCATCAAATCGCGATAGTCCGGTGTAATGTGTATAAATGCGCAATGCAGAGCTGATGTGCTATATTCACAATAAAGTGAATTAAAAGATCATTCAAGAACACAAGTGATGCTATATGACCTAACCTTATGTCAGGTAAAATGAAAGATATTAATAAATAATTTACAATTTACATATTTAAAATTAAATGCTTATTACACTGCAAATATCCATAAAACTATTTTAATTTAAAAAAATTAAAAATTACATAGAAAATTAAGGAGATACAAATTGAAGAGTGGGTGAAATCAAATATAAACAATTTATTTAAAAATATAAACACTTTGAGAAAAAGATATAATACAAACCTGCGAAGAGATACATGTTTAGGAAGAGTGATGACACTCCGAGTCAAAGACAAATTTGTGAGAAGTTTTGTTATATTATTCACATTTTTTAGAAACATGCATAGCTTTCATCAGTGCCGCCATTTTCTCTAATTTTATTGGGGTATGTTCTATCGTAGAGTTAAGGTGCATTTTCAGTGTGGGTCCACATGTGGCGCCTTTCCATCTGCACAAATGTGGACGGACAGTTTACGAACGTACCAGCGTAAATTAAAATAGAGATTAATTTTCCATAAACACCTTTGTGAATGGCATTAATTGCTTATTTTTGAATGTCATTTTTTAAAATTGTCGTAACCAAATTTCGATTTCAAAACGTTCTGCAACATCTTTTAATACTTATAATTATATGTATATATAGGTATTTATCGTTGTACGCTTCCTTGAATGTTTAATATCAGATGCACCCAGATAGAAATGCCTGATGATCAGATTTCATCATGTCATGATCTGATATTGATTGAAATGTGTTATTGTATATCTTGTAATCATATTATGATGATAAGTATCATGAGCACAAGTTACATATACATATAATGAAAAATGTAAGCTCAGATACTAATTTGATATATATATATATATGTACTCATAATGATATTTTTTGCAAAAATTTTAAAGATATAAATATGTCCGTGTTTTGAGCTCTTGTAGAAATTTATCACTATAGTAACGCAATAATTCATCACTTATTTCGAGTATTTTTTAAAATATACTGAAATACAGCAGCAAACACGTATATAAATGTTATATACATCAAGCATGTTACATGTAAGTATATGTTAGTGTTGTAATGTAACATTTTTAATATAACATATATTATTGTAGTTATATTGTCATTATATCTCAAAATAGCACTCATTTATCAATACATCAATGTGCTATTTGGTATATAATTACAATATAACTACAATGTAATATATGTTATATTAAAAATGTTACATCTATGAGTGGGAAATTACAACTAACATGGATGTTACATGTAACGAACACGTTATATTACTTGTTACATTCCGTTTTCTTGTGGCAATGTAACTGTTATATATCTGTGTTTGCTGGGAGTAATTTAAGTACTCAAAATAAATGATAAATTAGCGTTACTAGTGATAAATTTCTATAAGGGAGTAGCATATGAGCCAGCATCTGTGTCTATTTTTGTCATCATGTTTTAAGAAATATTATGAGTACATAATATGAATACAGAATGCATAATATTTTGCTATCTGGGCAGTTGCTACTTTGCACGTATCAGATGCAGTAGTTATTTTTTGGATCTAAATATATGATATTTAATATTCAGTAAAAACACGCGCCATAAAGAAAAAGATTATATTATTCATTCATATATACATAAATGAATATGTGTGTGTGAATGAAAGGATCACGGAATGTGTTCAAAAATCCGACTCTAGAGGTAGAATAGGATTTAATTGACCAATCAAATAAAGAAATCTTTTCTTCCTGATTGGTCAATTAAATCCTATTCTACCTCTCGAGTCGGATTTTTGAATACATCCTGTAATCCTTTCATTCACACACACACATTCATTTATGTATGAATGAATAATATAACCTTTTTTTATGGCGCGTGTTTTTACTGAATAGTAAATATCACATATTTAAATCCAAAAAATAATTATTGCATCTGATATGTGAAAAGCAGCAACTGTATCTGATATTGACATTCTTAAGGAAACGTACAACGATAAATATATACATAATTATAAGTATTAGAATATGTTGCAGAACGTTTTGAAATCGAAATTTGGTTACGACAATTTTAAAAATGATATTCAAAAACAAGCAATTAATGCCATTCACAAAGGTGTTTATGGAAAATTAATCTTTATTTTAATTTAATATCTATTAATTCTTGTCAAAGTTATATCTGTAAAAAATATGCACTTTCTTCTGTTGAAAAAATATGTAATTTTTTCTTCAGAATATATTTAGCAGATTTATTAAAATGTTTGATTTTTTAGGAAAGCAAGATGTATTTGTGTGTATGCCGACTGGTTCTGGAAAATCTCTCTGTTTTCAATTACCAGCAATAATGAGAGAGCACAAAGTTGCAATTGTCTTTTCACCACTCCTAGCTTTGATGAAGGTATTTTTATTTATTTTTGTATGATAAACTCTAGGAAAATAACTCATCACAATAACTATACATCAATTTAATTTATATTTTAGAATCAAATAGATTTTTTAGTGTCTAAAAAAATTAATGCCTATTCCTTGAATTCTACTACATCGAGCAAAGAAAGAAATACAATCATGGAAGATCTTATGTCAAATTCACCTAAAATTAAATTATTATACGTCACTCCAGAAATGGGAGCACAACAGCATTTTCAGGTACTGCTAATTTTCTAATTTTTATACATGGCTGTTAATAAAGCTGCCAATTGATTTCTTTAAATGCAGCAAACAAAATATAACAGTTCATGTTTATTATTTTATCTTATAATGATTTTTATGATTATAAAACATTTTTAAATTCTTTAAAAAATTAGTTAAATATATGTAAAAATTTTAATTTAAATTACTTAATTTTTATTGTAATATACATTCAATATACACTTAATTTATAGGAAACGATAACCAAATTGAATAAAAAGAAAACACTTTCTTACTTTGTTATCGATGAAGCTCATTGTTTAAGTGAATGGGGTCACGATTTTAGGCCAACTTATAGACAATTGGGAGTTTTTAAGAAATTGTGCCCCAAAATACCTATAATTGCATTAACAGCGACTGCTGCAAAACAGGTATTTGAAAACATTAATTAAAAATGATGGTTTTACAAGACCTGTTATATATTAAATATAATTATTAATTATTATATATCATATGTTTTATTATATATTATATATTATATATTGAATATTATTACAGGTGAAAGATGATATTCTCCAAAGTTTGCATATGAAAGATGCATTGATATTCTCTCAGCCAGTTTTTCGTTCTAATCTATATTATGATGTGTGGTTCCTAGAAACATTAGAGAAACCATTTGTACACTTGAAAAACTTTATTTTAGATGCATTAGGTCCTTCAGATAATTCTATTCCTATGGTAAGTTAAATTTTATTGTTGTGATATTTTATGAATCGTTGACAATAACATAGATTTTTCATGAACATAATATTTTTAGCATAAAAGGAACTGTGGTATTATTTATTGTAGAAAAAGGAAACAACTGAAATTGTTGCACATAAATTGACTCTTGCTGGCATTACAACACTAGCATATCATGGGAGTATGTATGATTTTGAAAATATGAATAATTATATTGATATAAATTTACAAGACTGATATTTTATTTTAATATTTGAAGGTTTGAAAGCTCAAGAACGTAATGAAGTACAAAATAAGTGGACAACAGGTGAAGTACCTGTTATCACAGCAACATGCAGCTTTGGAATGGGTGTTGACAAAGCATCTGTTAGGTAAATTATCTTGCATCTTTGAAGTCATATATATAATGTACAGAGAAACAAATTATTTTTATTATATAAATTTTTATAGATTTGTAATTCATTGGACAGTACCTAAGAATATTGCAGCATATTATCAAGAATCAGGAAGAGCTGGCAGAGATGGCAATCCAGCATATTGCAGAGTTTATTTTAGCAATGAAGAATACAAACCTATTTCCTTTCTTATCAAGGAGGAAATTACGCATAAAATTCTTCAGAGCTTGCAAAAATTAAATGGCAAGATTTTGAAAAAGTGTTGCATACTGTTTAGAGGCAAAGTACGATCTATATTTTTTGCTATAAACAAAATTTAATTATTAAGAATAAAAGAGAATATTATTGATTTTAAAATCTTTTAAATATTATATATTTTCAAGTGTGAAAATCTTTTAGGAATACAAATATAATATATATTAAATTTACAGCAGTAGAACTTGTATTGATAAAAGTATTAATTAAAAGAATTATTTGAGGCATTTTAAATATATCAATAATAATTTTTATATTCTCTTATAGATGCCGACATGCAGTATTTTCCAAGTATTTCGGAGATTCTCCTCCGCCTTGCAAAAACAGATGCGATATATGTAAAACAAAGACGAAGTGCAAGCGAAAATTGCTCAGTTTGAAATGTGTACAACTAAAAAGTGCCGAAGTAATATAGGCAGTGTAATGCAAATGAATTATGACGACGGCGAAATGTATGTTGGAAAATTAATTTAACAAATTATATTTATAGCAAATATAGTTTTTATTTTATACGTTGTAAAATGCTATTTACACATAAAAATATTTATAATTACATAATAGTGATGGATTTGATGAGCCAGAAGAATCAAGAGAGAAGATTATAGCAGCTGAAAAACGAGAAAGAAAAGAACTTATTATGGAACAATTTGCACTTCGACGCAATACATCTAAAGAGGAGAAAGTAAGTTCGCTATGAGCATATTTTTTACATTTTTATTATATTTTTTTGTTTGCTTTTTTAGATAAAGCGACAGAACATTGCACACGCGAAAGTAGCGCATGTTCGTGCAGCTGACAGTACAGATAAAAAAGTCAAAGGTTTAACTGTTCAAGTAAGATATCATGCACTATTTTTTTACATTTAATATTCATATTTTTACATGGTTTTGATTATTTGTTTTTATTATTTTTAGGTGCGAGAACACTTGTACAATGAATTAAAAGTAGCATTATTTGAAAATTATCAACATTCGTCAAACGATAACAAACAACTTCAGGAAAAGGATATTCATGATATATCTAATAACATAGAATATAAAATATTCTCCAGCGTTAGGGTACCAAATAAATACAAATTTGATATGTCTAAATTGGTATGTAATATTATATATACATATATAATTCTTTATTATAAAATTTGTATACATACAAATTTTGTTTTATTTATTTGATTTTATTTTATTATAGATTTCATCGATACGAAAATGTACTGATGATAATACTATTTACGAAGCAATACGTGATTATAAAGAAACAGAATATCATGATATAGAACTTAACAATTCTAATACTATCAATGTATTAAATAATGAACATGCATCTGATGTAGCTAAAATCGAATTTAACAAGAACACTTCAAACGAATGTAGTAAACCGATTTTCCCTTCTACATTCAAAACTGCATTAGAGATTTTAAATGAAGAAAAGCTACAAGCATCAGGCAAAAATACAATTCAATCAAAGACACTATCTGTTAAAAATGTCAAAAGAAATGAAATTAAAAATGAAACATCTATTGATTCTAATAGTATACAGAAAAATGTATGTGAAAATGAAACATCACTGATGCAAATGTCAAATGATTTTGTCTGTGCACGAAAAATTTATGATAGCAGCGTATCTAAATTGAATACAAGTTCTTCTAAGTCCAAATCTAATACAAGCTCTTCTAAATCAAAAGTTCGCAGAAGTAAAACAGATAAAGGTAAAGGTGTAAAGAAAACTGGTAAAACAGTTTATGAACAAATTTTAGCATCAGCACGATCAGTACCAAAGAAGACTGCAGATAAAAGAGATATTTTTGTTGAAACAGAACCAAAATTGACAATGTTATTGAGTGTGTTAAAAACAAGGATGAAATTAAGAATAGAAATAAAAATAAAGAGATTTTGAACTTATTAAACATCATGAGGATGATATAAAATCTACTAAGAAAAGAAAAATTGTACATAATGAATTTAATGAAGAAACATTTAACCAAAATATCGATAAAAGAAATTTAGATGATAGGATTGTAACAGAAGTAGTTACAATAGAAAGTACAGATACGAATACTAACATTATTAATACTATAAATAATGACTTATTGATGTTGAAAAAAGATAAAACTAAGAAACATTTTGAAAGAGAAGTTAATACAGAATTAAAGAGAAAAGAAAAAACTGCTGATTTATTTCATTCAAAACAACATGAAAAGAACAAAAGTAATAATAAACTAAGAGTACCTGCAGATAAAGTTACACAATTTAAAACAGCAGAAATTTTAAAATCGTATTTAATGAAATATTATCGATCAGAACGTCTTCCAGATAAAGCAACGTTCTCAAAAACTTGCAGAGAAATGCACTACATTATGTTAAGAAAAAATATTTGGTAAGATTAATCTCAGAAACATTTGATACTATTATTATTGCAATATTTTAGATATTAGAAATTTTAATAAACAAATAATATTGTTTCTATTTTACAGATAAAGAAGAAATACATAATTTCGTTACAAGCTTTATGAATCAATCTTGAAAATTTTTTTATTAATATATCTGACGTATTGTTCTATTTATTGTTAGGTAAGCAACAACATAAAAATAACTCTGTTCTTGAAATAAATATATCCCTTTTATTTCACGAAGTTATCGATATTTATATTAATCAAAAAAACGCGGGAATAGTACGTCACATATATTCTATATATCACGGCTTCATGTTGGTACTCCTGAGCCTGAGTGCATCGCGCGCAAAAAATCGGCCGGGAAAAATCTTCACGGAAATTTAGTCTAAAAAGGTAATCGAATAATTATTACAGTAAAATAATGATATATTATGAATTGCGAGCAAAAACAAATCAATATTTTCCGAATGTCATCGATAATTTACGTGTAAAAAGTAATTTTACGTGTACGCAATTTCGTGGATAGATGCACATCGTTAAGAGGTAAGTCGAATAATGGCACAAGTAATAATAAAAGATAATTATTTGGTTAATTATATTATTGCAATACGAAATCGATCTGTAATCATTATATCAAATATCTACTTAATATAATATTGCTTTATTTCGTGAGGTTACTGATATAGCTAGGAAACGCGAGAATCGATTAGTCGTTACGTCACATTCGATATTCGATATGTATGACATGTCACATTTGATATAACACATCTTCAAGTTGGTAACCCTGAGCCTGAGCGGTACAGTATAGGTACATCGCGCGCAAAAAAGTGTCCGAGAAAAATCTACACAGAAATTAAAAAAAGTTTAAAAAGATAATCGAATATTGTTACGGTGAAATAATGATGTATTATGTGTCGCGAGTGAAAACGAATATATTTTCTGAATATTGTCGGTGGTTATTACGTGTGCAAAAAATAATTTTGCGTGTACGCGATTTTGTGCATGGTTGGGATGCTCGTCGTGAAGAGGTAAGTCGAGTAATGGCACAAGTAATAATAAAGGTAATCACTTGGCTAATTATACTAATTACGATACGAAATCTATAATCATTATATATTATATCAGATATCTATTTAACACGATCGTATTCAACATAAATACAATTCGCTTTACTTTGTGAAGTTATACCGGCATCGCTAGTAAACGCGGGAATCGATTAGTCGTTACGTCACATTCGATGTTCGATATGTATAACACGTCACATTCGATATGTAACACATCTTCATATTGGCAATCATGAGCGATAATGGACGGATCGCGCGCAAAAAATTATTCGGAAAATATCAATACGGAAACTCGATTTAAAAAGGTAATCGACTAATTATTACGGTGAAATAATGATGTGTTACATGTCGTGAGTGAAAACGAATCAATAATTTTCTGAATATCGTTTACGTGGGAAAAGTAATTTTACGTGTACGCGATTTTGTGAACGGATGAACGTCGTTAAAAGGTAAGTCGATGAATAATGGTATAAAAATAATGAAAGATAATCATTTGACTAAATATACTATTGCAATACGAGATCTGTAATTATTATATTAGATATCTACATAATATAATATTATAATTGAAATAAATATACGACCCACTTTTTTTTTACTTCGTGCAATTATATACTAACATATTTTTCTATTAGAAAACATGGGAATTTATTAACGTTTTCGCATTGCATTTAATAATATATATATCACCACTTTATGTTGCTAATTATTGCAATCAATTATTAATCATGAAATAATTATTATAACGTATTACAAATTCTTAGTGGAAACGATAAGTATAATCAATGAATTTAATTTTTTTGAATATAATAATTATGATATTTCTAATTATGAATACAAAATTGATTAAATATATATTATATGTATATTTATGTAAGGCTATAAATAATTATAGCTGTTCACAGATATTTTATTTCAATTATAATTTGTTAGTATAAATGTGATTTTAATATATTTATCTTTAAATATAAATATAAAGTGCAGAGAATATTATTAAAACAGAGACACACAAGAAAAACAAATTTAACAAAAAACAAAAAAATTATTTATAACATTTATTGAATTAACACATTATCACGTTTTACATATGTAAAAAGAAAGCTTCGCAAGCTTTATGTCATATACATATGTATGTATAAATTATATTACAAAATCCTTATTTCTAAATATTGCATTAAATATATAATTGTGTGAGCACATTTAATTATAATTAATATTAAAACTATATTTTGAAGGTTTGTATAAATTAGGCAAGATATTTTCTGGAGAAAAAATATTTCTCGTTGAGCTATTTATATATACTAAAATTATCATTATTGCTTCTTTAAAGTAATGCATAAATTCTTTAAGTTTTATATAATAATATAAAGAGTAAATAATATGAATGTGTGTGAAAAGATTACGTACTTTTCCACGCATGTATAAAAAGATCACATTTCTTTTTATAAGTTTTTTTAATATTAAGACGTGCAAATGCTCAGATAATACATATAACATTTTAGTACACATCGCATATTGAATAATTCATTAATTATTTACATATTTACAACGAAGAATGTGAATATGAGAAAAAGCTATAATGCAAATTACATAAATGTATTATATACTAGTGCATCCCTTATGAAAATTTATCACTAGTTAGTTCAAATAATTACTTATTTCGAGTACTTAAATTACTGATATATCAGTAATTTAAGTACTCGAAATAAGTAATTATTTGGACTAACTGGTGATAAATTTTCATAAGAAATTTAAAATACATTGCTTAACGTTACTGAAATATTTTATTTTATTTCAAAATTTCATCATATATTGTTCGATATATAAATGACAAGTCAAAAAACTTTTTTCTCTAAAAAGATGTTATAGAAAAGTTAACGCTTTTAATTTTTAATTTTTGCAATTATATTGAATTATATCAGAAATGAAGAATCATGTAAATTTTTTCTTGTGAAGTGAGTGATTGGTGAGATATATAAAAACTAATTTATTCTGATGTATAACACGCAAAAAATAATTCACACGATTTCTTATTTCAGATATTATAATTCAATGTTATTCCAATAAAGAAAAATAGCTTTAAATAATATGTGATACGTGATAATACGTGATGATACGTGATAGACTAACTACTATAGATATTTACTATATGTAAACATGTTTAAGTATATGCATTTAAAAGATAATAACTAATTTTATCCATGTCCTCGTTAAAAGAGATGAATTTGTTAAGTTTGCAATAATATTTTAAATATAATTTTTTATTTCGTCAACAATAATTATATTAAAAATTATTACATTAATCTTCATTTCTAAAGATAAAAATGAGAAACATTGCGTCAATTTAAAGTCTGTTTAATTAAGATTTAAAGATAAAAAATTAGCAATGAAAAAGCATCAGTATATCCTTATATTGAGCATATATCTCTATATCATTTCTACGTATTTAAAAAAATACTGTTTGAAAATGAAACATAAAAGAGCAAACGATCACAGACATGATTGTTAGCATGTCATATACAACATTAAAGTTCACTCAATGGCAGTCAAGTGTCATTTAATATGAATATACGAGATAAGTTCATGTTGTAATCCTCAAAAATTACAGATTTTTTTTTTAATTTATGTAGAGAATTACAATTGTTTCAAATTTATTCTTTAATAATTGTTTTATTTGTTTAAAAATTAATTTAATATAATTATATAACATAAAATAAAAATACAGAATAAAAAGGTGTTTTCGCAATAATTATGATTAACATACGATAACTAATTATTAAATAGTTGAGATATGCAGTAATATACAATAACACATGCGACAGCTTTTCTTATTTTTATTTTACCTATAATCTTATGAATTTTTATTTTAATTAATGTCCGCTTAAATATAACGCGTTTCTTTTAATTAATTGTTATTATTTTTTACACACGATATTTCTAACGTGATAGTTGATCTGATTGCTGTCAGAATTAATACATTTTTTAAATTATACTAATTTATGTGACACATACATAAGTACATTGAATAAAATATTTTATTACAAGTCGAATCATTAATTTTTTTATTAAAGAACTTAATAAAGAGCGTACTTTTTTACTTCTTTTGAAAACTTATTTTTTAAAAATTAAAAATTAATTCATTAAATGTTCTGTAATACAAAATTTGACAGTGCAAGTATTTGTATTATCTATCGGCAATTTTGTTATTGTGAATAATAATCAAGAAAATAGCCTTGTTCTGAGTAGATAAATAACATTGTTATTAAAATATAAAATACCAAAAATAATAGGAAAATTCGCGATTATTATTATTTACAACATCAGTCGAATGAATTAATCGGGATCAAATGAATTTTATGACTTTATAAATACCCTGATGCCCTGATATTATCCAATGATATTTGGTATAACATATTAATATAACATGCGTGTGTGTATATATATAGCAAAATAATACTTTATATATTATTTTGTTATATAAAATTTTGTTGATATGAAATGCAAATATATGCATTGTTGAATGCAAATGAAAAATGTAGTTTTGACATACTAGGCAATGAACTACATCAGGTGTTTTCAGAATCTTATTATGCTAATTTACCGTGAGATGTTCCGTATCTGTGCTCTTTTTTGAGGAGGAAGAATCTTTTGTCTTCCTCTCTTTATTAGAATCTGCAGAATTTTTAATATTTAAATGATCACGTGCGCATTTTTCTAACTAATAAAAAAAAACTTAAATATAACCGAACAATTGAAGAGAAAATGTTTTGCTCACTCCCATATTACGGCTATCACTTATATAATTATTACACTGTTATTGATGTCAGATTCACATCGTCGAGAATCAAAAGCGAGCTATACACGTCCATCTCTGTAGCCTTTTTATCGATACATGTGTCCTTCTCGACTCGTTTTTGTCTCATTTTTATTTCTTTTTCCACTCCTTCTTCCGGTGATCCGTTTGCCTGATAAGATATTATTCTTACTACGCACCAAATGAGTAGCATTACGCCGGATGAGAATAGCAAATACATCGCTAATTTCTCCATAGTCACCAAAACGTTTAGATAAATCCAGAAACGTATAAACATCGAGTTCGGTAGATCGTACATTCCCTGAGGAGAAAAATATTTTTTTTAATGCTGGGTTATTTTGGGGGATTTTTTATTACTTATTGAGTGTCATTGTTTGATGATGAATCGAACAAATTCGTGATCGAAACAAAATAATGGAATAAATTTGCACATATGATATGAATACGATAACAGTTATAAGTTACAAAAGAATACTCTCTTAATGAATTTGATGTTATCACTAATGATAATAAAATTATTAATAATAATAATTTTAATGATTTTTTTTCAATTATATAAATATAATTATAAATATAATATAGATAGAAAATTATTTTTAATATATTTAAAGATTAATGAAATATTCATTGATCTTTCGTATCTTGTTATTGTTTTAATTAATTATATTTTTACTGATTCAATTGAGGTAAATATAATACAGAAGTAACTCTAAATCGACCTTTGGACTATGCTTTTTTTAGAAAAAAAATATTGTAAATAATATTCCTATTTTTATTGAGCATATTTACTTACGATTTCAAACCATAATAGTGGAAGTGTCATATCACTGAATTTTTCCGTCCTAGCCATGTGTCCGATATCTTGCAAGGCCATATTGATCTGGAATCGAAATACCACGTCCAGGGGTATCCCAGATTTGGCTGAATGA